GCCCGAACAATCGGAATGTCTCGTCAAATTTTGCTTGTATTGATTTTCCGTTGTCTTTTAAAGATAATTACATATTTTACACAATCTTTACAATAACATATTTGATTTTGTTAATTAGTATTCAATATGATACATATAGGTGAGTACGTTTCCGATGGATATGCTTTGTGTATATTGGATCTTGTCGCTATATTTGATATGACTCACAACCAGAAAGGAAGTGTGCGGGCAGTTATTCCACACAAATCAATAGCTTGCATAATTTTACTGTAATGCCATTCTTTTTGTTATTTTTAGTGTAAAGTAGAATTTACATATTCAATGAATCTAGGAGAGATAAAGCATAATGATTAAACATGCCTTGCAGTAATAACAGAAACTTCACTGCAGATTTGAATTTATCGACCAGAACACAATTAGAACACGACTAAAAAATATACTCAATATAGTAAAAAGAAATTGCCAATTCTACATGTTACCCCCACCTCCAGCCCCATTTTAACAATTTTTAGTTTTCATACAAAACTTTTCTTAATACACTACAGGAAAATGCTAACAAACAAGGCGGTGTAGTAATATAGTCACACTACATCAAGCATAACAAAAAAGATGTTCAAATTTTGTTGGGGGAAAAAATTACCTACATTCTTTGAAAGGAAAAAAAAGATCTTAGTTATATATTAGCGTAAAATCCTCCATTATCTTATTTCTTTAAGAAAAACTTTTAAATGATAGGTATAATTGATTTCGCGATCACAGCGTATCAAAATATCAAAACAAAACACTGGCCGACAAAATCTCTAAAATATTTAACTGTTATCATTAGTTAACCATGGAGAAGTGGACGACCTTCCGTGTTCTTTATCTCCAGAACTTAATTTAAGCATTTTCCGAAAAATAAGAGGCTGTAAGTTTTTGTCTGAGTTTAATTAAAAGCTAAGCCGGTCTTTGATCGATTTCAACTGTCTTCAATTTATTCAGTTCTTCTGAAGAAAAGAAGAGTCTAAAGTGCTGATTTCGCTTCACAAGAAACCCCCCGCTCATGTGATGCTACTCCAAACACTGTTTGCTAATGTAAACGATGAGGGAGCGCGCGTGCAATTAATTAAACGCTCAATATAAACTTCGACTTCCGTACCACGCGCTGGAGTGTAAACTTCCGCCCTAGGCTCTTGATATACAGGTACGGCATCCATTACCTTTCTGGGAAATCTTTTCGACACATTTTCATCATGTGTTAAATGTGTAATTTAGAACTATCTGATCCGTGTTAATTTTTCGGGTCAGGTTTGCTCCACTTTATTTAACAACCCCGAGGGAATATGTTTTTAATAAGAGATAAAAGGTTAAATGGGATTCTAAAAAGGTTCGAAAAATTAAAAACAGATCTAAGCCATTAATTTTAATATAAATCTATTGGTTTCATTTACAAAAGAGAGAATGTAACGGAATCTTAATAACAATATAGAAAGTCGTTTAGATATCAATTAAAACAAAAATGTTTTTGATTATATAAAAAAATAGGAACTTTTAAACTAAAAGAATAAAAAAGTGAATGAATAAACGAAATTTAAATCAAAATTCTAATTTTTTTTTTTTATCTCAACCAAAGGGCTATAACTCTCAATCATATATACGGGAGACGTGTTGAACATAATTCGTTGTGTAGGAAGTTTGCTATTAAACCCTTATCTATCTAATTATGAAAAAGTTCTTCACGATTTGTAAGATCAACCTTTGCTTAAGCTCTCAAAAATACTTGTTGAATAAACATTTATTAATTAAAACTGATCAAGGCCACATTCATCTAACAGGCAATTGTTTCGGTAATAAATTTTAAATATATTTATACCATGGGTTAAAATCTTATTACCTAAACAAGTGCCTGTGATTCATCTTTACAAATGTGGACACACAGGATATTTCATGCTCCTTCAGTACTCTTTTTGAAAATCTTTTGATTAAAGGGTGTTGAGACTGGTGTTTGAAGTTGACTCTGTAAGTTTCAACATAATATCTTTATATGATTCAAATTTGATTTGAAAATAAATTTGGAATCGACTGCGCTTAAAATAACTAGGGAAATTTTACTTTTTGTGAATTTTCGAAACTAAAAAAGTATTGATTTCCAACGGTACAGCGCGTTTCGTTGTCATACAATTTCTTGATAATAAGATGAAGAGTTATCTCTCTTTCCCAACAATTCCAATGTCATCCTTTTAAAAGGAATAAAAAAGAAATGTCTTACGATTTCAATTTTATCTACGCTTCAGGATTGTAAAATATGCAGTTACAAAAGGCAGAAAATTTTAATTACTTTTTTATTCACAGAATGTGGGCGAATCAGAAAAAAACACAACATGGCATTTTCTTCTTCAACAGCTACCGAAACACTGCATCACAGCGTCAGGGGAATTGTTAATAAACTCGTGAGTTAAATCTTGTCACCGCTCCATCTTACAATGAACATACTTTTGGGAAGTAACTTGTCGGTAAAATCGAATTACTGTTGGATTAAAAGGTAATAAACGTCCCAGCTATACAATCATAGATTCAATGTATTATCTGGGGAACTTGAAATAATGGGTTTTGTTAGCAAGGAATTAAATTAAACGATATTTTTGAAATAAAACTTTTTGCTGGCAGGAATTTTTTTTTACTGAATTGCCTGATATATTTGATAGCACATTTTAACAAATAATAAAAAAAATAATAATAAAAATATTGTTTAAAAAAATAGATTTTTACAAAATTAGATGTTTTAAAATGCATGTTTAATAAGAGAGTAATTTGAAAAAATAAATATAAAATGAAATTTTCCATCAACATCAGATCTAGAATACATATATTTGATACATACATGAATAAATTTAAGTTAAATACATTTTAACAGAGATACATGTACATATAACAAATACGGTTAGATAAGAAGTAATAACATATTTATTCATCCAGTGAATTAAGGAGGAACAGGACCTTTCGCTGAAAAAATTCCTGTCAATGAATTTTTGTCAATATTACTAATTTAATATGTCTTAACATCCTAAAACGGTACATGTTTCTTGACTTCTTTAAAAGATATTGACCCACAAATACCGCCCTGTTTAGAGTTTGTATGGCGTTTAGATACTTCATGTTTACGGGCCCATAACAGAGTCCATAATGCGAAGTTTTACGCACAAACGATAAATATGATAGATAACACTATATACTCAAATATTTCAGAATATTCATAGTGTTTAAATTATCTGAAAGGAATTGTTTTAATTTTATATAGTATTTGGGTGGGATAATTTCTGCAGGCAGCTTCAACGACAAAAACCTCATTTGGAAAAAATTCTGTCAATAAATATTTCTAAATTTATGATTGAATGTCAGTCCCTCATAGTAATTATTTACTGCATAAATATCACAGTGAAGCTTACCTTATCGCACGCATCGTTGAATTAGACGTAAACGCTTTTTTCCGAGTGCGAGAAATCAATTGTGACGTTAAACATTCAAAATTATCTAAATAGAGAGAATTTGCACTAAACACGAAAAGTATTCATTTAAAAAAAATCTGCTCAGAAATTTATCACGATACATTGACTGTGACCTGTTTAAAAATAAAACTGATCATTGTGTGTACTTGATCTCGCTGCACTGAGAATTCAAACACTACGTCTATGACGTCACTGACGTCAGACTGCAGGGTAAAGAGAAACAGGTGTGTGGATTGGGCAACTTCAAAATATCTACATGATGGCAAGATCTTTAAAAACTTTATTAATTATAATTTCTAAAATTAAATGTTTAAAAAACAATTTTACAATTTTGAATAAAATTACACAAGAACTGTTGATTTTAACAACGTTTAATAAGTACATCATCACCGATTATGACGTAATATGTCTTTATAGTCATGTGACATGTTCCCTGTCTCCCCTTAAGGAGAGCAAACTCTTTCGGGGATACATGTATTCCGCATTGCGGAAACTTGATCAAACTTGAAGTTTCAGTACTGAAACTTTGCGTAAACAATTAGTAAACTTAAGTTTCCGCAGAGTTTCAGCTATGCGGAAACTTTTTTTTCATCCAGTGATGCATGTAAAAATTAAGTTAAATACATGTTAACAGAGATACATGACTGTACATTTAACAAATACGGTTCGATAAGAGGTAATGACATCTTGATTCATCCAGTGAATTAAGGTTTATTCTGAGAAGAGAGAAAACTCTTTTGGGATACATGTACATTGTATATATATCTAATTACTGAGTATTACAGAAGTGAAGTATTTTACAGTCTTTGGATTGTGCACTTCTTATGTGATTGGTAGAAAATATATGATAAGAAGATTTTCATTTTCAATATATACAATGGAATTGTGAACCTTAAATATAGATAGTTCTGTTATTGTTGCACATTTAAAAAATCATTTTTTATCAGATATTCAATCATGTCAAAAGTGCGGATTTCAAACTGAGGATACTGAACATTATTTTATCAACTGCCCATCATATAATGTTGAAAGAAACTTATTGGTAAAACAATTAAAATGATATTGATGTTGTTTTTGAACTCGACATTCTGCTAAGAGGAAAATGTCAATAATCTTATCAAACAAATTGCAAAATATTTTCATATGTTCAAGAATTTATTAAATCTTCTAAGAGACTAAATTAAGAAGACTGTTATATCAAATACTCTATTAAATGCATAATTTTTTCCCTCAAATATTTGTATTATTTTTAAGCTGGAACAGTATGTAAATAATATGTATACAGTTAGGGGGTTGTCATCTTTTTTGAAATATAATATTGATAAATAATACTTGATTGTGAATCTTTATTTTTCATTATAATCTTATTGATTATCATGTACATGTATTATTACTTACTATTGTATCTTGACCTATTATACAAGGAGAGGGTGTACATAGGCCTTGCCTGTTGCCCAATCCTTATTGTATTATTCAATAAAAATATGTTTAAAATATAGTTCTGTTACTACTCACCCCCGGTAAGGTTTTCTGTTCGTGTAAAGCTTGCTGGGCTTTGAGGGCGCTCTCTTTGTGACAGTAAGTTAGAAAGGCACATCCTGTTCAAATTAAAAAGTTAATGATTTAATAAGTTATATTCTTATTAAGTTATTGAATTAAAAGGAAGATCTGACATGTTTGGACTCTCATTTCTCATAAGTATCCATGGTCCCGACATGCTATATGTATCAATTATAAAGTACATTGAACAAATGATGAATTTTGTGCTTATTCAAAAATATGCCATTCTTACGCACATTGACTATCCCTCTGAATTATCATCTCTTACCATGACTGACTGATTTTTGAATTTTTTTTTAAAGTGCGCAATGACTTTAATTCTAATCGTCGTGGAGTCAAAAATTTCTGTTATTTAATGTTAAACTAAGTATTATGCCTGTAAAACGTCTTTGTTATACTAGGACTTTTAAGTGGTCTGTTGTACAAGTCGGAGTGCAATATTATTTCGATTCAGTCTGGACCTCATTCCGAAAGGTGATGTAGAAAATATACTGTAAAACACAGACACATGTCAGATATAACTGGAGTAGCAATAAAGAACGAAACTGAAAAATAATGAAATAATCGAGTTAACATGAAAGTTAGGGATTGATAAAGCTTTTTACTGCAATCTTAGCCGGTCGTAAATCGTCACAATCGATGCTTTCCCTCCTGCTTTTAAGCAAACCCCATTTCCTCTCCGCGATACACTCTTTACGATATTGACAGGCAAAAAGCTTTAGCTTAAAGTTAACATATGACTTTACATCGTCAGCAGAACACGGGGCCTCCATAGTCAGCTATAATTAATACGTTCTTGGAAAGAAAACGCAAAAAATATTTTTTTTTTAATATGTTCATCGCTGACATAATTTCTATCTGCAAGTTGCATGATGCACATTCTTCAAAGAATTTGTTGTTAAAGGGTAATAATTTTTATAGTTTCCTTTAAAAAAAAATCAGACTATTATCTAGTCTAAAATCCATCCGAACACAAGGGGAAAATCAAGTTGCATTTTGATATTTATGGCATCATAACGAAAATTGACTCTCAGATGAAAATTCCGGGATCCCCCTTCAAAACTTGCCATCACGAATGTCTGTTTACTCAGCAATGTGTGCAAACTTATTGCAGCCACCAGCCATCTGTTATGTTTTTAGGATATTTTCACACAAAAACCTTGCAGTTATATAGCTTCATAGTTTTAGTTTCATTGACTCTTAAATATTGCTGATTTAGTGGGTCAAAGGTAGGAAATCTCAATTTACTGGAAGGTTGAATATGTTTAATTTGAACCGTTTTAATAAAATGTCTTGTACATGTACATTAGCATAAAACATTTCAGTTTCAATCTTCATGATTAGACTTTAGTAATTAAATGATAAATGAAGTTATCCTTCCTTGATGACCATCGGACATCCTTAATCTTAATACATGTATGTGTGTTTCTTTCGACTAAACACCCCTGATATACTTGCTGATTTTATTAACTGAAAGAGACTGTGTCCACTTCGCCAATAAGTCAAACCTCCGCCCGGATAAGAAGGAGTAATAGCTACCTCGGTCCCTCCATAGATTACCGCTTCTATCACACACGCCTTCTGTCGGTAAGCCAGCTTTTAGTCCAAGATTGTATTTACCGAGACCGAGATTTACAGGGCATCTCTTGTAAATTTTTATTTGTTTCAAGAGCGCAGGGGGAATCGATTGGGGACATCTGGTGCCGTATATAGAGGTCGGCCAGATAAAGTGCTCTAACAAATTATAACAAGAAACCTGTGAAACTCTACATATTTAGTGCTCTGACAAATTATTAGAAGAAAACCTGTTAAGGTTCATAATCACTCTGCTCAATCATATAAAATGTTGCTTGAACCTTAATGATTTTCCAAAAGAAATGTATTTTATAAGTAAAATTCAAATAATTATAGCAATTATTTTATCATGCAAAATTTTATCAAAAAAGAATTTTTTTTAATTTGGTATTTCTATAAAGGAATAATAGACATTTATGTCATTAAATAGTTAAAATCTCTTATCAGAGATAAAAATGAACCTATATTTTTTAAATTAAAAATTAAATCAGATGCCACAAAAGCATTAAATTTCCAAATTCTAGTTAGATATTGACTGATTTGCAATAAATACGAGTGTAAAATATTGTGTGAATGAAATCAACTTTTTCAAAAGAGTCACTGACTTGTCTATGTCTTTGACGTAATAAGTTTAATCAAATATTCAAATGAATATAATTAATTATATCAATCATATTTAATTATCATGTTGTATTGTGTTTTTCCAAAGAAACGAAACCGGACTAGGGATGTTTCGGTTTTGGAGACACAGCTGAAACCAGGAAGCGATCAGAATAGGTCGGCAGAATGGAAGCCAACAATTAGTTAGTTTAGCAGATTACTGCACTACACAAAAAACAGGATCTATGATCGAGCTTTACATTATCTTATTTCTAATTCATAGCAAATTAATAATGAATGTCTAACATTTATTTTAGTCTACCATTCATTACCAGTTTATTGAAGAAACAGAAAATGAACTGAATTTAGCTATGTGCGTAAGTAGTGACTTCTTGATTAGCTGTCACCAGGTCAAATACATGTTTTTGATCCCCAGGAACCGACCATGTCAATTTCAAAACTTCTGCTTGGATTCATTATGTCAGTTTCATCTGGTACCAGTGGTTGACGCATGTCAATATCTCGGTCTGACACTCTGATGTCTTAATCTGTCTATGACGTCATAAACGTCAATTACCGGAATTGGCAATCGACATTCTATTACAGACAGGATTTAGTATTTTCCATACAATCAGGAGAGTTAGGACTTGTGCTCTGATTTATTCCATTACAATGACTCCATGACAAAAGTCATACTCTGAGTTTTGTTCCTTGCAAAGAGATGTTTTACGTAAAGATATATAGCAGTTAACACCACTGATTTTCACAAAACGGTATCTTGAACGTCTTTTAAAGTGCATTATTTTACGTTCGAAGCACCATAAAAATATACTGCTGTACAAAACATGTCAAAACTCCCACGAAAGAATGTTCTTTCCTTCTGACATAATTGTTCTCGAAATAATTGGATCAAAGGGAAACTTTGAACAACAGAATCAATTTTTATAGCAGAACAATATTATCAACGTGTGAAAGTCAAAAATGTGAGTAAAAATAGCAATAGCTTCTTTATGTGTAACACAAGTTTTATATTCGGAGTGATAAAACTGAATGCCTAGTGACAGGCAGAGTAAGGTCAAAGGATGCCGATATGTTTTCGTGTTTTATTGGATATACCGTTACTCTATAGAGGTACTTGATACCAAACGAATTTATGGGTTTTTTTTTTTTTAAATGTGGATTTTACTTTTTCCAAACGAAAATTACAAATAAAACCCTATGAAAATTTCCAACGAAGCAAATAAAAAACTTTTAAAATGTAATTGTGTTAATCAAAAGTACACATCAATATTAACCTGCACAACAAGAGTTATTGCCCTTGCACATGCAACTCTCTTTGGGAACCTTAGATCCGCCATTTTAAACATCTGAATTCTTCATTGTTATGAATCTTGGAACCAGTTTCGTGTCATTGCAGATAAAGATCACTAATTAACACTGGAAAAGTACAAAAAATAAAACAGAGAAGCAAAGTATAGTGAGATGTTGTGATGTTACATCATGAAGCAGATGGTCCTAGGAGTAAATGGGTTTTTGGATGTACACCAAAATAAAGAAAGTATTGACAATTTGACAACTCTGTAAAAGCGATAGCACCATTTTAGTGGGCTGTTCGACTGCGAATTGCTCAGTAAATGTGTGTGCTCTGGTAAATGACCGACGAAATTGAATTTGTAACCATTATAAAAATGAATCGACAATATGGATCTCAAAAATCTTGTACTGCCGTTATCTTTACAGCAGAACAACTTCACACAGTTGGGTAAAGTGATCTACCGATATTACAATAGTATGTAACAATGCGGGCAGCAAGTGATCTTTTTCCCCTTTCTCTTTTTAATTTAGCTTTTTATGATCAATTGCCACAGTAAACTCATGGTTTTGGCTATTGCATGACTACGGGTTTCTCTATTCATACAAACTTGGAAATAAAAATCTGGACTTATGTGAAAGTCTTACAAATTTGTAAGGAATCTTTTAGCATTATCTACATTGCATGTAAAGAATAATCACACTGTATATATATACATGTATAGCCGCTAGCTGCTGCATAATGCAGAGATCTGGGGGACCTTATGTTGACATTATTTGACTTTGTTTTTATTTTGTTTTTTGATTTTTTTTTTTTTTTTTTTTTCACTTTTTCATTCATGATGACTTGCTGGTGTACTAGGTTGACTTTAAAAAGTTTCTTTAAAAAATAGTAATTCTATTACCATGTAGCTTCCTCAGTGTAGTGATTTTATCAAAGTGAATTTTATGGAATCACTAACTGCCATGAACTGTTTTAATAACTTGAGTGTTCATCACAATTTTATCATCATTTAAAGCTCGTAACTTCATGATGGCTAAAAATTGGATTCGCCATATTCGGTCTGAAAAAGGAATCAATGCATGGTATCGATATCTCCCCCTCTCACCATTGATAAAGACGTTCTTTGGAAAACTGATAGTGGAGTACAATAACATTACACAAACTTATTTGACTACGGCAGGAAAATATTCATCGCTGGTCAGTATCCAAGTATGACCCACTCAGTAACTGAACTTCCTTCCAGTATGAACAACTCAGTGATTGTTCACTTCCAGTATGACCCACTCAGTTATTGAACTTCCCTCCAGTATGAACAACTCAGATACTGAACTTCTTTCCAGTATGAACAACTCAGTGATTGTTCTAACTTCCAGTATGGCCCAATCAGTAACTCAGTATCTAAACTATCTTCCAGTATGAACAAATCAGTGATCCAACTACTTCGAGTATGAACAAATCAGTAAACTAACTGAACTTCCTAGGGCCATCGGTCGCCCGCGTGGCGCTAAAGTCGCGAGGTAAGGAGTCAATCCTTACTCAGTGACTGAA